CTGTGGGGATGTTTTTCAGCAGCCGGGACTGGGAAACTGGTCAGAGTTGAGGGAAAGATGGATGGTGCTAAATACAGGGATATTCTTGAGCAAAACCTGTACCACTCTGTGCGTGGTAGGTTCACCTTCCAGCAGGACAATGGGCCTCATTCCACATGCCACAATCTTCGTAAGTAGGATTTACGCACAAATTTGTTCTTAAGTACGGTTCGTGAATGAGGCCCAAAGACCCCAAACACACTGCTAAAGCAACACTTCAGTGGTTTAAGGGGAAACATGTAAATGTGTTGGAATGGCCTAGTCAAAGCCCAGACCTCAATCCAATAGAAAATCTGTGGTCAGACTTAAAGATTGCTGTTCACAAGCGCAAACCATCCAACTTGAAGGACCTGGAGCAGTTTTGCAAGGAGGAATGGGCAAACATCCCAGTGGTAAGATGTGGCAAGCTCACAGAGACTTATCCAAAGCGACTTGGAGCTGTGATTGCCGCAAAAGGTGGCTCTACAAAGTATTGACTTTAGGGGGGTGAATAGTTATGCACATTGACCTTTTCTGTTATTTTGTCCTATTTGTTGTTTGTAGGGATGTAAAAAACTATGAATTTTCATGACCGACCACCGAGCCTCATTAACCGGTTGAAACCGGTTAACCGCGCAGTTTAAAATATCTTCGAAATAACAGCCCTGCAAGCCGCGTACTTTTCATAAGTGCAGCTATGCGTTCTACTGGATCAGAGTTGAGACAGCGGAGCGATACATGCAACAGCTTCGGCACCTCTGCGCACAGAGGACTGCTTTTTTAATCTTCCCATTCTTCTGTGCTGCGGGTTAAAGCATTTTTAGCAGCAAACGACGGCTCGTTCACATGGTCAGAGCAGCGAGTGACGAGCCGCGTCTCGCAGGTCTCCGCTAAAGTTTAAATACAAGGTGTGTGTGTGTGCGTGCGTGCGTGTCGGAGTTTACTGATACATTGGCGCGCACACACAGCTAGAGACAGACCCGCTCGTCACACCGTGCAAATAGGGCTTGAAATAGCGTTTTTAAGAGACCTCCCCTCTCCCCTTTTTATATAACCGACAGCTTTCACCGGTTAACGCTGTGACGGTCAACCACCGGTTAAACGGTTAAAGTTGTGGGCATGTTCTGTAAATTAACTGATGCAAATCTTCAAACAATCCATGTTAATTCCAGGTTGTGAGGCAACAAAATGCCAATACTTTTGCAAGGCACTGTATACTCTTTTCACCATCCATATTATATTGTGTGCTCGCTTTACAATTAACCCTTTAGGCGCCAGAGTTTTTTCAAGAAAATATACAATTTTGATTTCAAGATTTCAAAAGGCTATAACTTTAAAATGGTTTGAGATAAAGGCATACTGTAAATTAGAAATATCTTCAGTTTGAACCAAACTTTGGGATGGAAGTTGATTTGTCATCTAATTTGCATATTGTGACGTCATCAAGGTGGCGGCCATTTTGGAAAAGGTTAATTATTGTATAAAAACTTCAAAAAGCTGTAGTTTGGGAGTTTTTTTTAGATCAGGGAATACTATAAACAGTCAGTGTGAAATATCTTTAGTATGAAATGAATTTGGGATAGAAATAAATTCCCTGATCCAGATTATAGATAATGTTTTAGCACTGGTTCGCGGCCATACGGAATTGTATTATTTTCAAAGACCTTCAGTGATCAAGACAGCTCTCTTTATAGTTTACAGTCATGAAATCTGGAGTTTGGTTTCAATATTTCCCTTTCAAAGAAGTGGTGGGCTTACTATTTTTCTCGGTGGAAATGAGGCTCCTGGATTTATGGTTTAGAAACAGAGATGAAATGAATGGGCTCAGAACATGTCAGATTATCTCAACAAGAAACAACAGGCTCTTCAACACTTCTGATCCACTTTTGTGGATTATTTTCTCTCAAGAACTGCCTTGATCCTCATCATCACTGTTGGTAAAGGCAGTGAACGCGAAAAAGCGATGTGTTTTTATTCCCGCGGCTCCCCCGCGACTTCTCCCGCGTCTCCCGTGTTCCCCGTGGATGTCTACCCCCGCTACTTTCTCCCACATGCCTGGTGTTATGATGCCCCTGTCCCCTCCACCACGGCCCCTGCTTGGCGTTCACAGAATGCTTCTACCGCGGCCACACGGAGGACAAGCAGCCGCTGTACAGGGGCTGATTGTGGACTATGGAGCGCGGTCTCCCCGTCACCAATAATGTCCGTGTCTGCTTCACTGGACACCTGCGTGTCTTCCTCCTCTGATTCTGAGTGAGCCAGTACCAGACCAAGTACTTCTCTGGTACTGAAGACATTGTGAGTAAAAGAAAAAACACTCTCTCCCTCTGCTCTGCTCTCACTCCTCTCAGCTCTACCGCTGCTGCTTCGCCTCCGCGCTGCAGCGTCGCAGGTGTTTTACGAACTCAATTTACTCAAACTTTCAATATAACCACACCCACAAATGTTTAATGTTTAATTAACAAGATTCTGCACCACATTTTTACATACAGCCTGTTTAAGTGAGCAATGTTGCTTGTCGCAATATTGCGACTTTGGCGCTTAAAGGGTTAACACTTTAAGCGCCAGCGTTTTTTTCCTTAAACGCTCGATTTTGACATTTTCATTTCAAAAGGCTATAACTTTTAAGTGATAAGAGATAAAGGCTTTCTGTAAATTAGAAAAATATTAAGAATGGCCCAAAGTTTATGTAGGGAATAAATCCACCCATCTATGACATCATATGGCAAAATATTTTAATTTCTCTAACTGACAGTCATATTGATCACTAGGACATGAACACACACAGAACTCACACTGGTAAATAGTAGGGCTGTCAAACGATTAATATTTTTAATCGAGTTAATTACAGCTTAAAAATTAATGAATCGTAATTAATCACATTTCAAACTATTGGCAAAATTATGCCATATTTTTCTGTAAATTGTTGTTTGAATGGAAAGATAAATGACAGCTTAGTGAACATATGTACTGTATTTGTTTGTTATAACAATAAATCCATATAAAATGAAATTAACATTATTAAAATTCTGTCTTTCTGTTTAGACTTAGACCAAAACTATTGTTTGTTACAAATGAGGGACATTTCATAATAGTCTGAAATGCAGAATTTCATTAAATCTGTTTGATTTGCTCACACCATTACTTTTTTTTAGCACAACTAACGAACTGATGGTCGAAAGGAAAATTAGGTACCTCAGCTTTAACTTAGCAAGTGCGCTTCGGGAGAAGACACGGAGGAAACTGAGGCTCCGCAGTCCAGCTTTAGCGCTGTACATATTGTGTGCATCGGTTACGCAAAGACACGTACGCACACTAGAGAATAGTTCTGTAATAGTTCTGTGCGTGGTCTTGGATATGATCCCATTACGCAGCGCCGTTCGGCGTGATCACAGCCGCTGGAAGTGGGACCTGCTGTCCAGAGCGCTGTCGCGCCCGCAGCTCATCGTGCACAGTTCATACAGGAAACAACAAGTGCCCCGCGGTCACGCGTGTATTCTTTCAAAACTTGAATTCCCAGAGGGCCTACCTGCTCTGTCCCCATCTTACACACGCGTATGTGTCCGCGGCATTCTGAGTGTTATTATGGGACGCATGGGCATGCGTCAAATGCGTTAATTTTTTTAACGCGATTAATGAAAAAAATTAACGTGCGTTAACGCGATAATTTTGACAGCCCTAGTAAATAGTAAAAAATACAAATCATGGTGGTGCTGCTGTGAGCAGTCTGCCCAGACGCGCGCCTCCAGGTGAAGCGTACGCCTGTTTCACCACGACTCTCCCTTCTCCTGCTGTCTCCCCTGATCTCTCTCTCTCTCATCTCCCCTGCTCTCTCTCTCGTCTAACAAACACATGACAAAGGCTTCTCCAACACGTTACTGTGCCCGTTATTACGGGAGGCACGAAAATACATCTGTGGGAGACACTATTAGGGGAGACTTCAGCGGATGCTGGAGGTCGCGGCCCAGCGCCCCAACGCGACTGCTAGGCTTCCATCCATCCATCCATTTTCTACCCTTTAATCCATTGCTGGGTCAGGGGGGTGGCAATCAGAGATGCCACCCAAGTCTCATAGCTCCAGCCCCTCACTGATCCTCTGCAGGTGGTGAGTCCACAGGAGGATGGCTGCTCTCTGAGTGTGAGCATAGCCTTGATCTTTCAGTGGGGGCTTTGAGCAAAGTGGGGTTAAGTGTCTTGCCCAAGGACACAACGAGAGCAGTCATCAGTGGGAGTCGGTGGAGAAGGTGTAGAGGTGGGAATTGAACCCACAACCTTCAGGCCTGAAGGCCAATGCTCTACCAACTGAGCTACTGACTTCTAGGCTTGTTCACCGCAAATCTAACCTGTCTTCGAAACTCCTAATGACTGCTCTGACTCTGAGAAACACTGTTCTCACCACTGTCTCTGAGCAAAGGGTCTAAACTTTGTGTTTGGTGCGGTACAACACTTGCATGCAGCCTCGCAGCTGCACTCGCTTTGCTATGATTTCTGCACTGGATCAACGCGATCTTGCTCAAATAATTTGTATAGGAGCATGTAGTTTTTTTGTGGCCAGGGAGGTAGTCTGACATGTCTGCCAACTAGTGGCAGGGAGTATGACGGAAATTTGACACTCTGTTGGACACACTCGGCCGTTTTAAACAGTACCGCAGCTTGTCGACTTAAGTCGACTGTGGCGAGTAGAGGGTTAATCAGTGAATTTAACACCTTATGTCTGAAAGCTTGTAATGAATTGTGTCTAGGCCATGTGATGTCTTGGACACAGGGAGCGGCCTTCTGGGACTCTTTGGGCCAAATGCATTTTAACAATTCTTTTGTCTGAATATCTCACTCTGAGGTGGACCAGCAGGCATGAGAGAGCTCTTCCTTAAGTCCTGATTATAAAATCGACAAATTCGAAATAGAACAATAAACTCAAGACTATTGAGTATAATGGAATAAATCTTGCTTGTACCAGTGGCAGTTATGTAATAACAGCATACCCAATATATGATTGAGCTGATCCAAGTAGTGTTTCCCAGGAAAGATGGGCTTGTTGGATAACATCTCAGCCAGGATGCAGCCAACAGACCAAATGTCAATTGATTTGGAGTAGCCCTTGGCAAAAAACAAAGATGTCAAAACCATTTAGAGTGAATAATAATAATTCTGTTTTAGTGATTGAATACCTTGGAGTTGAGCATAATCTCTGGAGCTCTGTACCAACGTGTAGCCACGTACTCTGTCAGGAAACCCGTGTGGTCATGTTCTGGATCTGCTATTCTGGCCAAGCCGAAGTCACAAATCTGAGATGAGAATGCAATATCTGTTAGTCAGTAATATTGTGCAGCACAAACAATTTAGAGCTGAACGATATGGAAACAAATAGCTGGACGAAAGCCCTTTAAAAATATTTAAATTCCTGCTTTAATTAAACTGTTTAATGCACAGAATACATTTTAATGTTGTGACCACACAGTAATAAAATATTGCAGGTTTTGGCGATTCGCAAATTGTGGCCCTAAAACTGTTTATCTTGAAGCCCTAATGTATACATCACTTCATTAGAGCAGTAGAAAGTCCTGGTGTTGACTTGGCTCTGTGCTGTTATAGTTTCGACCAAATTATGACACTGTTATTGTGCAGCCTTAGTTACAGAAGAAATAACCAAAGGTCATATTACTAGAGTGAAATAACATCAATCAATTACAGTGCATGCAAGCTGCAATTATAAATCACTTCAGAATCAAACATTTGCCAAACAAGTCATAGATGAATAAGAGCAAATGTACTTAAAGGAATGTGGTTGCTTTGTTTCCACATAATCACCTAATCTGGGCACTGTTTACAGAATGGTTGCAACTCACCCACATCTTATTCTGCTCAAATCAGAGAAAAACATGACTTTAAAAATATAAAGGGTGGTTTTTCATGACTGACTTTGTAATAACCACGAGTTCAAATATTTGGGGTGTTTGGGAGGTTCCTCTATTTTTCATGAAAATATTAACTAAAATAAATTTAAACATGTGTGCTGTTGGAAAATAGTTTTCTGTGGAAAATGAAACCCTACAGTAAGTTGGCAAACCCAGGAGATATATTAGAAATTCAACACACACTCTCAACATTCCTGAGATTTTCCCTTTAATATGCAAAACAGAAAAAATATATTCACCTTGCCCTTTTTAAACCTGATACAACCAAGCCAATGTTCAAAAATGAAAGAGCCATAACCACTATGTTTGATAGATTCATGCTACATAATTTAGGTTTGGAATTTATTTTTGCATTTATATATTATATAGATATACATGTTTGTATGCTATGGATTGGTTTACCTAGTTAGTTTTAACAATGTGGTATTTCCTGTATTTATTTAAAGCTTGTAATAACTATTTGACAAAATTACACCTTTATTACGCAATCCATGACAAGTGTGTGCGCATTACTGCTTCGGGAAAACACATGAAATGTCTTAATCATAAACTAAAAAATAAGGTAAAACTTGATTATGGTGGTCAAAAGAGAAACTGAGGGGATGAGTGCCAAGTGAGCTGCAGGGGGGAGCGGATTAAAATGTTGCATTATAATAAAACTGTTTAAAACACAAAATATTAAACCTATGTTTTTGTTCATGAGTGAAGAGACGTAAAGAGATAATATTCTGTCACTCGTTTCTCTTCAGCGCGTCTTTGGTGCATAAAAAAAGACGAAAAGTCCAAAAATATCTTTTCATTTTAATGAGCTGACAGTTAACACCAGCAGTGAAATACATGCTTACAACAAGCATAATTATGTTACGTGCCACTATGAACAGGATGAATTGTTTTCCTGTTCATCAAGATGAAGACCGGAAAAGGGCACGTCATGTCTCAGTTACACCTACATAAGGTTACGTGCTTGGTATAAATTAGATAATTAGCATCTTTCAATTAAAATGTACATGGGACTATAAACATCAGTTTTTGGCAGACTCCTAATCTTGTTCAAATTGTCAATGTCTCAGATCTTCACAAGCATGTGTGTTTTTCCAGTGAAATGGGAGGACTACCCATGCAGCAGCCAATCAGCTCTCAGCCCAGAGCATCATAGTGGCTCACATAGCTCTTCCTTACAAGAATGCAATAATTCAAATTAGTTTGTCTAATCACTGCTACACAGTTCTAGGTCTACAATTCACTTTCTAGAGGACAAATGTAGAGTGCATGACAGTGATGTTATCTTGGACTCACCTTGAGGTCACAAGTGGTGTTGATGAGCAGGTTGGAGGGCTTGAGATCACGGTGCAGCACGTTGGCAGAGTGGATGTACTTGAGCCCTCGCAGGATCTGGTACAGGAAGTAGCAGACATGGTCGTTGCTCAGTCTCTGGCTCTTCAGCAGCTTGTACAGGTCGGTTTCCATCAAAGTCTGCACAATGTAACTGGCTTTGGGTCAAGGGCAAGAGGGAATGATGGCCGAATGAAAAACACAATGAAGGATACGTCTGTGTCATAATTTGCCTTTTCCACCGGCGGAACTTAAAGACCTTATGCCGGGTTTAAAAATAAATAAATGTGGATTTCAAAATTGCATGACAATGTCGATCTGAAACAGATTCTGACAAAAAAAATCTTATATTTTATAAAAATAACGTGTTTTTCATGAATTTAAGTTGTCTATGCTCTAACCTGTGTGTGACGTCACAGCGGGTAACGCCCATGCACTGAAAACCATGGATCTATGCCACAGGACTGCCTTTTCTCTCTTCTCTCCACTAATGCCCAACACAATACTGCACTCTACAGGTGACAATTCCTCACTACACATAAATTGCCGTTTTGAGAGTGAAAATGTGTCTGAGCTGGGATTTGAACCCCAGTATCTGGATTGGCAGTCCATCGACACAACCCCTGGACTGAAAAAAAAACTGAAAAAAAAGCACAAATACCAAATTGTAAACAACTTACAGCGTTGAAACGTACCCACTCTGACGTCACCAAGGGCTGTCAAGTTTTTTTGTCTCTAAGGGCGTTGCTATGGGGTTATTTCGATTTGGGGGGGGATCAGACAAAAAAAAACAACAACTGATTTTGAAACCTTTAGTAGTTCTTTTCTAATATTAAATGGTATTAAAACTGTATTTCTAAATAAATCAAACCCGGCATAAATTTACAGGGCCAGCCCCGTTGGTGTGTGTCCCCACTGCAGGACCCTCCACCACAGGGTAATTTACAGGAACTTTTACTGGGCCCAACGGAGCCCAGTAACAGCTCCCAGGTGGGGCTTGATGTTAACCGGGCGCTGATTGGCTAAAGCTAGAACAGGCTCCGACGCCATCAGAAAGCACCAAAACAACTGGTTATGAGGTGCAGGCATTGATTGCTTTCTACGGCACCATAGAAATTTGAGGCATCGGATTTGAGGTATTGCAGCGAAATGAAAAGATATATTAAGACATATCAGCGCACCTCAAAGCACCGGGGATTCAACACACTCCAAAACAATGTGATGAAATGTTGAAAAACTGAAGCAGGAGAAAGAAAAAAAAAATCTTTTGAATGCGCTGGAAATGGCAGCAAGTGCTAAGTAGCTCTGAAACACTTGTTGTTTTTGTGCTTTACAATTGTTTATTTCTTGGTTATTGGATTCATGGTCCAAAACAAGCATATCAGGCAAAAATACACTGGAGGAGGGTTAACTTTTTGAAAAATGCTAACAAAGCATTAAGCATTTTACTTTGGACCAGAGCAGAGAAAATGGTCCTAAACAAGAGGCTCCACTTCTGCTGCTGTGACCTGTCCTGCTCCACCCAAAGGCTAGACCATCTCTGCTGCTTTGACCCGTCCCCTTTTAACAGGAACTCCTGGAGTGGAGACAGGAAGCATGATTTTTAACTATGTGTGGTTTAGATTTCCACACATACTTAAAAAGGTGAGGTTGACAAGGAGCCAAACTTGGCAACCCAGGTGGTGTAACTTGGCCCACAAGAGGGTGCTAAACTTTGTCAGAATCCACAAGCTATTATGTGGATTCCAAAGTTATAATAGGTTTGGACTCTATGCAGTAAACATGTATTAATGTTGGTGAGTAGGTTTGGATTTCTTTATACTGGTTCCAATAAGAATAAATTAAAGTTTTAAGAATTTGGACTGAAACTGAATGTGTCATCTACATGTAGTATGAAATACAAGAATTAATCTAATGGTGAGAATGGAAAAGCACCTCTTCTGCCTGTTGACAAATGTAAATGTTGAGCAATGTCTGAAAGAAGGATTGGCAAGATGGACAATAAATAGGTGGCACACTGTGTTAACGTTGTACTGTTACCTTGTTAACCGCTAGAACTGTTCTGGATAAACACAGCTCTGAAAACAGCAATTCCGCCCATTTCTTCTACTTTTAAAAGTCAGTATGTGACTGTGTGCTTTGAAAATTACTTAAAGATAAAACACTAAAACTATTAGCTTGTAGCTCCAAAGGAGTACTGATGTAAAATCATGTGGGCCACAAAAAGATACACATCTCTCATGCTGTCAATCTGCCGTGCCCTGAGGATGTCATTGATGCCGATGATGTTCTCATGGTAGAAACGAAGTAGAATCTTGATTTCTCTCAGGGTGCGCTGGCAGTATGTCTGGTGCTCAAAGGGGCTGATCTTTTTGATAGCCACACGCTGGTTTGTCACATTATCCATAGCAGAGCTGTGGGATGGAAGAAGACAGAAACAGGTTTCATATTACATGCTGCACTGGGTGTTGTTGAAAATGGGCAGACACTGGGCTCTTGAAGGGCGTTGCAGATGGTTGTTTCTGCCAAGAAGCTGTAGCTCTATGTTCATAAGTAGTTGAACTAGATAGAAAAAGCTATGTGTGTACGTTTCATTTTCCATTTAATGCAGCGCTTAAACACAGAAAAATACTATAACTTCATTGGAATCCAGGGAGTTTAACGTTATTCCAGACCTGACAGGTTACACTTAGAGATGGTTTGAACAAGATTTCATAACATGAAATTAGATTGCAAGGTAACATAATTATTTTCCGTTCAAATATTGACTTGGCCTTAGTACAACGCAACAGGACGTGTTCACACACGGCCGCAGACGACAAGAGATAGATAAGGAGAAGGCCTCGCTTCATCTTCAGCGGACTTTACGCAGAATCCATACTTTTAACGCTACACTTACACGGATGTGTGCATGTCTGCTGGGCAGCGACTGTTGCTTTAAAAGGCATATGTAGAAGAATTAAAGGCTTTAGGCAAAACAGTGCTTTACAAAGTACGTTGTGTGGAATGATCATCGATCTCGTTTCCTGTAAGCCCATAGCCACGCCTGTAGTCAGCTAACCAGATTTACTCCAGCCAGTACTTACAGTCAAATACCGTCATCCCACAGACTAACAAGAACTACTATACGTTTGTGCTACAGTATAATGAGCGTTCTGGTTTGTGTAGATCTAATATTGCCACAAAAAACAACACTTACCACACCATCCCATAAGCCCCTTCCCCGATATAGGACAGGTTAGTATAGCGGGGACCCACATCAAAGATCTGTCCCTTCACAGACTCGCACACGGGCTTGGCCCCCCTGTTCGGGGCTCCATCCTGCGCAACGGAGCCTGCCTCAGTGCTGCTGCTGGAGCCTGAGGCCCCCGCCACGGCTGTGCTGCTCGGATCCGCCATTCTTCCTCTGCTTCTCACCGAGGACCTCTGCCGCTCGTACCAAGAGTCAATGTTCCTGAGGGCGATCAAACAGCTGCTGTTGTACAAGAAAGAGGGCAGACACGGGACGATATAATTCCGACCCTCGAATAAAGTGGATTTTCTACGTAAACGCGGATTTGGTTGCAGAGAGTAAATGCGCGTGCCACACTACGGTAACAGGGATGCAATAGATTTGAATATGAGCGTGACTTGTTAGGGCGGTGTCACGTCATTGTGGGTGCCGCCACATATTCAACCATACATTTGAGCAAAATAAGCGCCATCTCCACAATAAACATGCAGGGAGCATGAGTGGGCGTGTCAAAAAGTCTTGTTTGAGGAAGACTTTAAATGACATCAGACCTGACAAATCTTTACAGTTTAACTAGCTATTTACGTTACATAAGACCAATTTTTGAGTTTGACTAGTTATTTATTAGTACAGTGTTATTTGCATGAATAAGACAGATATTTACAGTTTAACTGGTTATTCAACTGATAGTAAACACAGACACAGTCAACACTCGTTGTCCTGCCTCTGTGACGTACTAAGCCAAAAGGATGATTATAAATAAGATTTTTCGAAAAGAAAAAAAATAATAATTTCATGCCAGTTTGTCCATATCTTTATATTTTTACTTTCTGGTTAAGATGACACCACAACATGTTACCAGTGACGTGGGGTGAGGTCGGTGATTGGTGAGGCACTGACTTCACCCCTATCAGATGTTTGCTCATACAAAACGCAAAAAGTAAAAAGCACATTTAAAAGTGTGTAATGGTCTTACCTTATAAATGAACTTTAGACCACTTCAGTTCAGACCAGCTTCTTGTTTAAGTCCAGATAATAGTTTGAGCGTAGATGTAATCCTCCATTTTGAAATAAGTCAGATGTTATGTTGTTAAAAAGTGAAATAAACGTTTGTCTCCCATATCCTCCAAATGATATATTGACCAAGTATTATTGTTTCTACTTTATTCTTTTTTCTTCCCATGATCGTCCCATAGACTGATCATCCTCACCTGACCGCACGCCATTGGATGTTACCTGGCAACCGTGTTATAAATTTGGGTCAAAACCCCTCTAATGTAAAATATTAAACATTGGGTAGATTGCAAGAATGTATTTTGATGGGGTTTTTGAGTTTAGTTTATGATTTAGTTTGTCTTTTGTCTGTTTTGTTTGTATCAGCCACTTATTTTTCACACAAGCTGGAAGCCCGTCCCGAATGTAGGTTGATTTGAAAAACAAAACTGCAGAGAAATGTGTGCATCACCAGTGGCCAGTAATTTTGAAATCTTTACTGCCCCCTTGGGGCATAAACCCTACAATCTATGTTAAACCCTCAACAGATCTTATGGATCTTGTCCATGGACCTATTTCTTGTCGTTTCTTCATCCTTGATGTGAGTTTCTTTTTTTTTTCTTCAAGTAAAAAATATCTATAAAGAGACAAATAATTATGATTTATCATGAATGATAAAAAATAATAATTTGATTTCGTTTGAGGCTGACCACGTCCACGTGCTGGACTATGCACTTCCTGGTTACAGTCAGGTCGGGGTTGCCGCACTGTTTGCTGCTGCGGCCATAGTGGATCTAGTGCGTTAGTGCGTTAGTTCATTTGAGGAATGCTCCATTTGTCACTGAGGCGATACTGGATCAAAAACATTCCCTTCGCACTCGCTCTGTTTGGGTTGTCACGTCCTATCTACTGTGTGGGAGATAGGTAAGCTATATTTCTATGTTTCCTAAGGAAACTTGGCAGCTGAGTTCATATTGATAATTACAGATGAGATTATATTCATCCTGTTTGCTGATGATTTCTTGTCTTAACCTAGCCTGGCCATAGCCATCCGTACACTCCACTCAATCATCATTTCACTGCATGAAATGTAATTTGTACTAAGGTGTGGTACAACCAGGCTAGTCTTAACCTAGTCTTTATGGACTTTTAGTAACACTGAGAATGCATTTGCACGTGACTAAGCATAAACCCTGCCTTTTATATTTTGGAATTACTAACGCTAGTTAATACAAAATGTACCTATTTCCTATTTTTTATTATTACCAAATTATGATGCTATAATCTTGCCAATTTACGGATTAGCTACACATTACAAGAAATTAGCGCTTCCACTCAATGATGCTGTGCTGTTACTAACGTCAATTATGGGTGGAACCCTAAAACATCTTTCTACAAAAACCTAGATACAAAATATGTATATGTGCATTGGTTACGGCAGCCATTACCAAAGTCAGTAACATTGCAGCCCCATTAAAAATCTGACGGGTCTGCGCGGCCCCTCGAAATAATAACCAAGAAGACAACGTTAAAAATAGACTCACCCCATTTTGTAATGCAAAAAAATTACAATTTGATTATTCAAGTCAAATAATGAACACAAATATTTTAATATTACAAACAAAATATTATTAATTTAACATACAATAATTATATAATATATATATATATTTTTAATGACCCTGCAATATCCTGGTGGGCCGCGGACCCCACTTTGGGAGACACTGGGTTATGGTATTACCAGGTGAACAACTATAATAAATAATGTGTTTATTTTGTTTTGTTTTTCCAGATCACGGCCCATTTCCTGCTCACTTGACAGAGGTTGTCAATCACCTACTATCACCAGATATCACTATTACAGCTCTGCACCTCCTATCATGGCCTCTTCAGATATGCTCCACGTAAAGTCCAGATGCCCCCTCTATCCAGGCTCCAAGGTAAAGCGATGTCCCGTCTCGGATGACAAGGTGGTGTGGAATACTCCGTGGCCAGAGTACACACCTGTCTGCCACACTGATCCTGCAGTCAACAAAAAGCCAAAATGGGCAGATCCTGAAATTGGGTAAGGTCATATAATTGATGCCTTTTTCACATCAGTCATGATAACAATCTGTCTACTTTTCTGTATCTACTCATTTACAGTAAGTTTTCCCCAAAGTTCAATGCTTTGGATGGTGATGTTGACCGCAGAAGTTTTGAAGGCAACTACAGAGTGGAGAGCAGAAAACCACTGTGAGTACTCATGCCCATGAATAAAGTTAAAACTATGAAATGCTTCTATGGGTATATAGTAGGGATGCGAACCTCACGATATGACGATTATCGATATATTGGTCAAAAATATACTGTTATAGAAATTTTTTAGTAAAGCAATCTGAAATGCAGCCGCAAGCGGCGTCGAACGGCCCTCCCCGCACCGCGCGACAAATACATAGTTCCCACAGACCAATGAATGTCACATGACCTCCTCGGAGACGCCATCTTTGATGGCACGCTGCTGTGTTTGTGCATTCCATTAAACAGAAGAATGAGAATAAATGTAGATATTCAAACGCAAATTGGAAAAAAAAGGCAACTTTTGAGCAAATAATTGTATATTAATACAATGGCACCACAGTTTAACGTGCTACGGACATGTTTTACATATTTGATCAAATTATGCAGCAAAAATTAACAAGCAATGCAAACATTTCTCAAACTTTAGATTTAATACCAGTTGGAGCTCCATTTAATTATTTTAATTATATTAACAATTAATTTAATTAATTCTAATGCCACACGGACACTCTGGATTGCTGTTATTGTTTATTTCCGCGTTTTTGACCGTATGTTTTGGTGAATGGTGGGCAACTGATTTTTCCAGGCGTGAAGAGCAGTTTATTTTATGACACAGATCTTTTTACAGAAGCAATGCTGTTTGTGAACATTGTTTTAGCCCACAATAGAACTATTATCATCTATTTAATACATTTACGTTGCCCTCGAGAGCCTCGGACGCGACACCGATCCTCCTCATAATAAAGTAATCTAACGCTAAATAATGAAACTCTCAAGTTACCAGCTATCAGCAGCATACACAAGTTAGTACTGAGTAAATTACGTCTGTCAACACATTATGAGATACGATACGCACCTGACACAAAGTGCTCCGAGCATATTCTTGCGTGTTTTGAGGGAGTTTCTTGCCTGTTTATCTTCGCAAGCCATAACCTCCGTCGTTGTTCTGACAAAAGCTTAGTCTTCTCACATTCATGAAGTCTAATGATGGGTATACTGTAAAATCCAAGTTTAACAGAACCTCCGGCACGATTTGAACATCCATTGACCCAGCAGGAGATGACCATTTTCAACTTTATCACGACATTAACACGTTTCAGCTTCTTTTTCTATTGTTTTGCCCACAGAATGCCAACACAAATGGCGCCGGGTCGGCAAATCCCCGTATGTAGTGACGTCATGTAGGAACTATGTATACAGCACATATTGGCATAAAAAAAAGAAAAATGTTAAGAAAAAATACACTTTATTTCATGATAAATGGAATGGAGATGCGAAATGTAACTATATATTTAGTATTGATAAAAAATAAAATAATAATATTATGAAAAAATTCCTAGTATCTACGTGAAATTGCTTGGTTGCAATCACCTGACGCATAAACTTCCGGTTGACGGAGTGGTGGTCAGGCCAGCAAGAGTTGCTGCTGATATATGAAGAAAATTCCAAGTATCTTTTGCTTTTTTGGATATTTCATGACACTTTGAAGCTACTGTGGTGAACGTTCTAACTCATCATTCTAACAATATGCACAAGGCAGAATTTTTCCACTACATGTTTTGGTAATATCAAGGTTGAAGCTACTGGCACCGTGGCAAATGCTAACATGCTAATAATGCTAATAAGTCTCCATTCCTCCGCTGTATGTCACTTACATTCTGTAACGTCTTTGTTTACGCTGCTTCTACCATCGACAATAAAAAATGTCTTCTGTCTGAATTAAAGACAAGATCCTAGACTGTCTTTTTATTCACTTTAGATTCTAACCCACAGCTAGTGTTACAATCAAGCTTTTGCACTGCTAAACAAATGAAGGTTTGGATGAACACGGATACTGCAACTTTTCCGTCTGTCTGTGGGTTTAAGAACTCAGAGTTGAGGTCCTGAAGGACACATCCTGCATCGTACAGAGCCGTGTAAGTAACGATTGGTATGAACTTATCATTCTCAACAAAACAATGCGTCTGTGGCTGTGTTCTTTTCAGGTCAAACATTCACAGTGTTTATTTAAAACGCCAACTCATACCTGACAATGAATGAAATAAAGATGGGGATGTAATAACTGAGCATTGTGACTCCATGGCTGGGTAAATACATAATCCTTAGAGGTAAAAGCGTCTGCTAGTGAAATGTTAGCGAGCCACTTTTCCTGCGTCTTTTCGTGAAGTCCTTAGTGCGAGGCTCTTTATTAATCTCTTCACAAGGAATCCTAAAGTATCCATTAAAGGTTTCACGATTCGATCGGTTAGAAAACTTAAAACAACACATACAAAAGGCAAATTCAGACACGCTGCTCTAGTGAACAACTAGCTCGGCTGACCACCAGTCCGTGATACGCATATGTAATGAGGCGGACGTGACGTCAATTGCAAGCAAGCAATTACATAAGTCGCGTTTCCACCGCAGGAGTTCCTGGTAAAAGGAGGGGGTGGGACATCTACAGGAACCATCCTCTCACTTGGCCCTCTCAGTGTCTTCACTGCAGAGTTGGACCCCTCTGCGACTTCATAAGTTTTGATTGGCGCATAATCAATAATTATTTATTTCACGGTCGGAACCACTCCAGTTGTTGTGGTATTAGAGGTTTTTATAGTCATGTTTATTTTTTTATATTTTTGTACTTTCTGCGGCATTGTTTCTGAGTGTGATGAATCCCCAGAGCTTTGAGGTGCTCTGCTATATCTTTTCATTTTGCCGCGAGGCCTCAAACCCTGTCTGAATTTCTATGGTGCCGTAGAGGGCAATTGCCTGCACCTTATCATTTGTCATTCTTGCTGTTGTTGTTCGCTGTTTCCAGTGGTTTGTGCTAGGTTAATGCCACTAGGTTATTGCTGCTGGATTTTTAAAATGCCGGTTGATTTGGTGCATTCTGCTGGCGTCATAGCCTGCTCTAGCTTTAGCCAATCAGCGCCGGGTTAACCATAAAAGTTCCTGTAAATGGCCCTGTGGGGGAGTTTACTGCAGTGGAGACACGCACCAATGGGGCTGGCCCTGCAAAATTACCCCAAGTTCCTGCTGTGGAAACGCGATTATAATACTTTGTTATACTGTATGGCAAAAAGTGTTTGGCAAGTTAACGATTTTTCTACCAAAGTTATCCTACCTTCAGGGTTTTTTGCCCAATATCTCACAATTCCTAGCCCTGATAATTCTTTCCATAATATGGAGCAGTCTTGCTATCCCCTTTGTAGAAAGGAAGTTCCAAACTATAATGTTTCCACCCCCATGCTTCACAGGGGTATGGTGTTCATGGGAGGTAGATGATAAATCTGGTGTAGTGTAGTCGTCTTTTTAATGTAACTACACACTTTCCCTTAAATAAACAAACTTAATTCATTCATTCTTAGTATTTTTCCAATGAAAATGAGAGTTTTAACCAAAGGGGTTCTCATCTGACCATGTGATATTCTTCCAGGCCTCTTCTGGATCTTCCAGGGGGGGAGGGAGACAATGACTAATGTCTCATTAACATCATAGTATATACATTGTAATTGTATTGTGTTCACATGTCAGAAACCCTCGAGGCCGCACAGGCATGGCAGGAAGGGGTCTTCTGGGACGTTGGGGACCCAATCATGCTGCAGATCCCATCGTCACTCGGTAGGCTGCAGTTCCACTCCTTGAGTATTTTTTCATTCTAGAGAGCTGATTGAACTATTTGACAGATGGAAAGTTGATGCTAAGGGAGCGAAGGTGCAACATGCTGTTTCAAAACGTCCCATTCTGCAGTTTGTGTCCATTAAGAGGAAGGACTGTGGCGAGTGGGCCATACCTGGGGTTTGTGTTCTTACTACTTTCTTATGTTAATCTATAGATAGAGATTGATCATGAGGGTTTTCTATGGATGATGCATTATAAATAAACAAAGGTTTTGGCTAATGTGTTATTAACCAATTAGGAAATTACAAAATTGCATTTGTTATTGATGGAAATGTTAAAGAATTGACAGAAGTTAATATGATTTAGCTTTGGGTATATTTGTTTCAATTACATTTATTTTTGTATATTCCTAAATCGCTACAGCATTCGTCTCAGAGGACTTTCAACAAAGTTGTCGATTCACAAACAACAGATCAGAGAATCAAACAGTTCGAACACAGAAAATGCAATAATGACATACACTTGGTCCATAGGGAGCGGGATTACCACTGTCCATAATAATAAATAATTTACTCAAAAAAAGATCCTGTATTAATTTCACAGTGGGGAAATTTCAGCATATAAATGTGTGAAACCTCAGGAGGCCCATATTGACCGAGGGATCCGCTCTCATGGACTGACTGGTTGCAGATCTCTACACTGGCTTCCTGTATTCTTTTTTTTAATTCTTAATTTATATGACCTCCTCCAGCCCCACTTTCCCTCTTGTTCCTAGGACCAGGCTGAAGACTAGAGGAGACAGGGATTTTTCTGTGATAGGACCATGTGGTAACGCTTTACCTTTGCACAATCACTCGGGAACTTTAAACCTTGCATAAGACTCACTTTTTATCTCTTGCAAGTAGCAAGAGACAAAATTTTGGTTTTTACATGTATATTTATATACAGTATACATGATTCTGTATTTTCATCCATCCATCCATCCTTCTTTTTCCCCCTGGCAGTCAGGGGGGATACTGACTGAAGTCACTAAAGTGGTTGGTAGCCTCCTTGGTGGCAAGGCTCCGGTAGTGGATGAGATCCGGTGTAACGCCGAGATACACTGCCTTGACGAGATCCACTGCCTCAACTGTTTATGATGTAATGCAAAGCTGCGCATGCGCGTCTCACGGCAGCCGGAGCATACCAAGATGGCGGACCGTGAATTGCTTTAAAAGTTAAAACATGTCATTATTCATTCACTCCATATCTCAGGGTCTTGTTCGCGAGTGAGGGAAAGATGGAGCGTGTGCACAATGATGTGGTCGTTGTATCGGACCGTTTTAAGAGGGAGCTGAGTCGAAAGGCAAAGCTATTGATTACACAAGTTGAGAACCAAAAAATGGACAGGGGTTTCTCAACTGATTTAGAGAGTCCGAATATCACATGCATTTTGCTCTATCAGGTCAACTTTTTGAGATACAGCCATAGTGTTGCGGATTACGTACGTCTGTTATTATGAATTCTGCTTATCAAATTTGATGGAGTAAATAAAAACTGAATGACTTCGGATACGTTGACTTTTATTCTTGAGAAAAACGGAAAAAACGTCAAGGGTTTCTCAGCTGATGATCAGCAGAAATGTGTTTTTTACGCAAAATCAATTACAAAAAAATATTTCTGTAGCAAAAAATCCTGACCTGATTGAGCAAAACCAAGGTCATTTTCGGACTCAGAGCATCAAAATTAGTCTAATTCAGCTGGAAAACCCTGGACTATTTTCCAAAAATATTTTTTTGTTATCCGGGGTCATTGGTCAATATTTGTTCAGGACCTATGGTCATGAATTTTGGGTAATGAGAGATTGTCTCTCAGCTGGAGTAAGTCTGTGTGAATAGGGAAGTCTGGGTGTCTCTGCTTAGACTGCTGCCCCTGCCACACGGTAACGGATGAAGCGGAAGAAAATGGATGGATGGATGGATCCAGGACTCCCCATTCGGGGAGTGGTGCAGCCCTTGAGTCCGGGCTGGAGGCGACCAGCGTAGGTCAATGTTGTGTCTTCATTTAGTGTAACTCAGGATGTTCTTCTAATAAGACAAAGAGTGTTACAAAGCTTGTACTGTATAATTACCTCACATCAGGGATCTGAGCTCTCAGTAGCCTACCACCCCCAAAGAATTTGGTAACGAATCATTAAAAATCATGTGTTATACATGACTTTGAATGATTCAAATTTGATTAATTACATATGTATTGGTACTATAAATGTATTCATTATGTAGGGTTATAACATATGAATGTATATTTTAAATCAGCTGCCTTTGCTGTCTTGTAATTTTATTACAACTGCAAAAATTAGTTGCTCACTGCCTTTTCTATTGTGTAAAAGTAGCTCTCCAAACGAAAACCACCTTTGCCTTCAAAAAATGTCAAAAATGTATTTGCTGAAATGTGTAAATATTGTCTTTATAGGGCATGGTGGACCCCGGGGAACAGGTTTCCCTCACGCTGCAGCGAGAATTCTCAGAAGAAGCTTTAAACTCTCTAGTTATCCCGACAGGGGACAAGACCAAGCTGCACGAGCGTATAACCAAGCTCTTTAAATCCCCAGGATTTGAGGTAAAAAAAAATTATCAAAATTACACCTGCCTCAGACTTTTCAAAATGTTTCATGAACTGGGTTGTGCCATCTTGTTTTGAGTTACCTCATGTATGTACTGTTTAATACAAATAATTTTGCCATGACGTTCCAGGTGTACAAAGGGTATGTGGATGACCCAAGGAACACTGACAACGCTTGGATGGAAACTGTGGCAGTGAACTTCCATGATGAGTCTGGTAAAATTGATAAAATAGATATTTTAGAGAGACATTATATGCCACATCTACTTTTTGTGCCTCCTGTGAAAATACTGTCAGACTTTAAAATCGCTGTTTTGAAACCAATGTATTTTACATGACTTATTTTGACTCATACTCGGCCATGTGGGTGAAATGTCTTGCCTAAGGACACAATGACAGTTTAGCACTTAACATCGCTCCACTGTGGCACCTGGTGTTCCTAGAGGTTACATAACTAACCAGGCACCGCACTACTTAGTTTCTGAGGTCTGACGGTATCTGGCTTTCACATGCAGTTGGTGCCACATAACTTTTCAATTGTATGACTGTGTTTGCAGCTGATCATTTTCAAATTTGGGGAAAATACTAATCCAATTCATTTCTCCCCTATGGTGGCAGCAGAGGGAGTTACTGTTAGGAAGCATTTTTTTTACCTTTTATACAGTTTTACTGTATATTTCTACCGAAGATATAACATGAAATTACACAGCAATTATTAAAATCGTTATCTGTCATGTGGAGAGGTGATGGAGGACTCAAAATGCAGGAATGCCAAAAAATAATTATTTAATGATAACAAAATAAAAGTCCAGGTTAAAACTCAAAAATCCAAAAACACAAGCAACCAGGAACAGGGCAGAAGACATGAACAACACAATGGACCAGCAACATGGGGAGAGGCTAAGACTTCTTAGCTAGTTTTTCCGACGTTTCGTCCTCAATCCTAAGGACTTCTTCAGGGAATGAATTCTCAGACCGCGCGTTGGAGATTTATAACCTATGGGTGTGGTCAGCCACACCCTAATCCTGATACTAACTCATAAACAATCTAAGGTCTGTTTGATGTAGAAGGAAGCAGGTCTAACGACCCTGCTGAGGCTAACGACCCTGCTGAGGCTAACGACCCTAACTCATTAGCATGTCACTGACCTTGTCCCAAGTTAGGGCGTTGTTTTTAGGATGTCGTCATAGATGCGAGGCAAACAAATCTTAACCCTCCTCCTTTGTTTAAGAGAAGGTTTTTGTTTCCTCACAAAAATGGCTTCTTTCACCCCTCTCTCAAACCAATTCTTCTCCCGAGCCGAGAAAAACTAAGATGGCGCCTCGTACGGTCGACATGGCTCTTTGCTGCTCTCTTTTTCTTTTGTTTTTACTTTTTAACTGTGCATCTGGCTGTTCCTACACCCGTGAGGAACTTATGAACATCCGACCCACCGTTCCCATGGACCTATTGCCTGTTTTCTTGGCATCTGCAGCTGATTTAGTTCATGTTCTAGCCAAAAAAGTGTGGGCCCGTAAAAGGGGAAAGCGCAGAGGCCTGCACGTGCGTCTTATGGTGCTTTCAGACCGGGAGAGTCGTTGCGTCTGCATTCAATGCAAAGTCAATGGGGAGTCGCGTTTCAGCGTCGCATTGCACGGACCTCTCGGCACACACGCACGGACCGCCCAGTAGAAACGCGCGGACTTGGCGGGAAAGTCAAAGGGGAGGAGAAGGAGCGGACAATGAACACCCACAGGAGATGGATTCCGCTCAACTTTTCCTCGAGATGTTCGTGCAGCGACCAATCAGAGAGCACGCACACCACTGACGTAATCACGCCACTACACAGCGTATATTTTCCCCATTGTGAGCCAGGAACCGGTCATTTAAACATGGAGGATCAGGCTGTGGACAGTCTCATTGTCGCTGTTACAAACTTTCCAGAGTTGTGGAAAGTCTCCATTCCTGAATATAGCGACAGAGCTAAAAAGATTCGGCATGGAAGGCCATTGCGCAGCAGCTCAACCTCCCTGGTAAGTTTTTTGAGTATCATTCATTCGTAAATTGGTTCTTGTTTATGCTAGTTTTTCGAGGGGAAATTCTGACTAGTATCTGATTCTTTGCAGTCGAATTTTGCAAGAAGCGATGGCGGTCACTACGTGACACTTATATGAAACGGAAGAAAGACGTACAGAGGAGTGGCTCTGCAGCGGGGACCGCGAAGTGGAGGTACGCAAGTGCCCTTTCGTTCCTCGACCCTTCCATTACCCCGCGCCCCACCACCAGCAATATGGGTAGGGTGGAGGAAGGACCCCCTGTCGATGAGGCCTCTGCGCGACCTGAAGGTTTGTACTGGGTTGAAATGGGGACATTTGACTATATGAAATTTATATCACGTCATGCTATACAATGGCCATATCTGCAATGGTATTGCTTTCTGTAATTGAAGTTTTTATAGAAGTTTTTCTTCTCTATATATTACATTACATACATTGTATACTTGCAGACAACTGCTATGTTTACTAAAATGACAATGCATTTACAGAAGACATGAGGGTGTCATCTCCTGCGTCGGGGACATCCGACGCCACTATCCCTGCCTCTCCCTACCACCCTAGGCTTCTGTTCCCCCAGGAAACACCTCCAGGTTAGCATCACATATCATATACTTGGTTCACGTCTGCGACCAGTTATATCTCTTGTCCGTAGTGTGCAATTTCTAAAGATGTATTTCCTCCTGTTCAACAGAGCCAAAACGGAAGAGGAGCAAGAAGGCTGATCCTCCAATATCGCCTTATGAGAGAGAGCTGCTCTCTGCACTCCAGCAGAACTCTCATCAGGGCTCACCGCAGAAATCAGAGGATCAGCTGTTTGTGGACAGTCTGGTCCCTCTACTTGGGAAATTGGAGCCCCATGCCCGTTACCAAATCAAACGGAGGTTTTCAAACATAATTTACAAGGAACTTGCAGAGAAGGAAAATGCGCCACCATCCAATGTGCAGTGACCTCACCCATGCAATTGTGTATATATGTAAATAAAAGTGTTGTGTGAATCTCTTGTGTCTATGTAGATACATTTCCTAGGTTCTTTTTAATCTTGTCATTAAGAGGCGTAGTTGTAGAAGAACCATACATTACAGAATAAATGAGCAGATAGAAAATTTACTTTGGCCCTTTACAGCATATATAGTGACATTGTAGAATTCTCCACAGCTCTGAGAATGTATAAGGCGAGTACAAAAAATTTCTATAGTTTGTTTCAGCCCTTAGCACCTGGTTGATGAGGGAACAAGGTTTGTTCAATGTTTAATAATAATCTTTATTTATATAGCACTTTTAAAAACAGTGTTTACAAAGCGCTGCACAGTCAGCATGATAAACAATAAAAACAGTCATAGCAAGGTCAAAATAATTAGATACAGAAACACAAAGCAAACAGAGCAAAACACAAAAGAGACTCAACAAAGACAAAGCAGACAATAAAATACAGCATCGGAAGTTTAAAACTAACAGTTAAAAGCTGTTTGATAAAAGTGGGTTTTAAGAAGAGATTTAAAAGAGGATACTGATGGTGCGAGCCTTATCTCCTCGGGCAGCCATTACTTTCTCTTGTCTCTGTGATATGCTACGGTTGTTTACTGTTGTATGCTACATTGGTCACTAGATGGCGTGAAAACGGCCCTAAATCAAGGGTCGTTTTAAACAGTTTAATTACACTGTATTATGATTAAGCAAGTAGGGATAAGGGAACAGCAACTTCACATTGTAGAATTCTCCAAAGCTCAGGTAATATAAGGCGCGTACTAACATGTTACCAAATTAAAGTAACAGAGGAATGTCTTTATATGACGATAACAAATGTTGAGGGCCCAATGTTAATATCTGCCATACTCGCACAAACAGTAAGGGTTTTAGTAATATCAATTGGAGTACTAGGGAACCAAAATAATATTCTGAACTCACCTACATAAAGTCTATTTACATGATCGCAGTTTCTAATATTAAAAAATTAATACTCTATCTTTAATGTGGCGTGTGTTAAACAGAGTATTTCTCATGCACAATATTCTCTATGACTCTGTGCACGAGAAAAGGTACGAATGGACTAATCAAAGTATGTGGTACTTTATTTTCCACTAGTGAACCATTCCATTCCAAAGCTAAATGTCTGATTTGACATTGCCTATAATCGGGGCTGAATAAGAAGGATCATAGAGTAACGTTTCAAAACAAAACTAGGTACTATGAACAACTTTTAACTTGACTTCACGTCTCGTTAGCTGTAAGTGTTTACCTAAAGCATTTTAAATTAAAACATACATTAAACAGAAACAACACTTCAAGTAAGGCAAAAATTTATTAGCGCTAACAAAATGGTGACAAAGAACAGAAATGCAGTCAGTTTCTTTCGGGGAAACCTGGCTATGTGCGTTGCCAGTGCACTGCTCCTTCCTCTGTGAAATGGGCTTTGAAAACCTCCCTCACTCTCAACGCCGCTCTGGCAGCATAGTTGGCTACGATACGACCTAGATCAGGAAGTGGGTCGGGTGCTGCAGGTCCTGCCTGCGGAGGAGCTGCCATTTCCGCTGACGGCCGCATGAAGTTGTGAAGGACACAGGTTGCCTTAACACACTTCTCCACAACTTCGGGACGGATTTCCAGCTCCCGATGGAACATCCTCCACTGGGACGTCCAAATCCCAAAAGCGTCTTTCACTACCAGTCGAGCCCTGGAGAGGCGGTAGTTAAAGGTGTTGCTTTCAGGGGGAAGACCGCCACGGCCGGGATAGGGACGCATCATGTGCCGCTGCAGTGGGAACGCTTCATCGGCCACAAAGACATAGGGCTGGGGCCCTCTGTGGTCAGCGCCTGGAAGGCACTGGTCAGGAGGCAGCCGGAGAGTTCCTTCCCGCAGGGCCGTACCAAAGGCAGAGTTGCCCAGGATCCCCCCGTCGCTGTTCCTGCCATATCCCCCAACGTCAACCACGCGAAAGCGGTACTGGGCATCCACAACAGCGAGGAGCACCAGGGAGTGGTAACCCTTGTAGTTGTAGTACAAGGAGCCAGCGTTCGGAGGGGCCTTCATGCGCACATGTTTACCATCCACGGCACCACAGCACAGAGGAAAGTTCCAACGCCTCTCGAACTCCCCTGCAATGGAGCGCCAGTCGTCTGTGGTGGGAACCGCCATGAACTCCTCCACCAGAGAGTCCCAGATGGCCGTAACTACCTCGGGG